AAGGCTGACCAATTGCGCGAAGACACCAGATGGCTTCATAAAGACTTTCCTTGTACTGTGACTTGTTGACTTGTAAGGTCATCGTAATGCCCTGGGGAATTATTTTCATTCGAACATGCCAGAGCTTTCGTGAGTGTTTGATACTATCAATACAGTACTAGCTTTGCAAAGGAAAACTGAGAATTCTAATCCCCACTTTAGAAAATAGAAAAATCGCTCGGATTCATGAGCCTTCATTGGCTCAGAGACTCCTTCCATCCGTCGAGAAAGAGGAATAAGACAGGACACAGAAAGTGAGTGAGTGGGACACAAGCCACTGGACTTCCATCTCGCGGTGAGAGCGAGAGAGCGAGCTGCCCATTCAGCAAAACAACGTTGTTTCAACATTGAAAAAAGGTTGAAATGTTGAGACATCCATATTTGAATAGGTTCTACCAATCGGCGCGAGATGGCGCATGAACGCCATTTAGCAATTCTCACCCTGGTGTCATTGTTCTAACCTTTCTAGAACATGGTTAGAATTAGCGTCAGTCAGTCCGTCAGTCACAATCGTTTATATATATTAGATATCTGTCATTCCCATGGGCACTGCGGGAAAATGGCAGATGCTGCGATCGGTCTATCACTTGTTTTTCTGCCATTACCATGGGTGCAATGGGAAAATAGCAGATATCGCCATGGTAGAAGAAGCCACTGTATTTGTTTCGTTCCATCTGTCCCCGATACCCATGGCAACAGGACAGCCCGACTCAATGCGCGTGTGCAACTTTCTGTCTATGTCGGTGTGCCATTCTACGGCTGAAACATGTACTTCCCTTCCAGCCCTAGCAAATGACGGATCCATAGCAGACAATAAGAGAGAGAGTAACTAAGTAGACAGGGTTTGCTGGGCGTACGCGGAAAATGCCGCATCTGGCATCCTACACTTCCTACTCTCTTCTCCTCTCCACGCAACCCGGATGGGCGAACCATCGAGAACGTTGTCTATTTATCCGGGACTTTCTATATAGGCCTATGACGTACCAATGATAGCTATTGTGTATTTAAAGGGTTAGGATGCGGTGAAGAAGATAATTCCAGTGGTATGGGGGTCAGTGAAATGGTAGATCTGTACCTGGGCTGGTACTCTAGTTTGTGGTTGCGATGGAATGATGACTGGGACTATCGGCATGAACAAATCAGCTGCAGAATGAAAGAGATACGGCAGGACTAAGTAGTCTGAAGAGAATTATAGGAAGGAAGGGAAGCTGCAAGGAGAGCATTGAAGACACTCCTTATGAAAAGAAGCAGTGACGAAGTTTCAAACAGAATAATCGGTCCGCCGCAAAATTGGAAAGATACAGAGCAAAGAAATAGGAGAAAGAATGCACTAGATACTGATGCACGTGGTCCAGCGGGAGTGCAAATATTGAATTTTCAGACATTGGTCGCAGCCAAAACGTGGGATCTCCTTTTTGGCTGCACAGAAAATAATAAAGGTGAGATCCCTTAAGGGTGTGCCAGCTTTGTTACCGGACAGCCACCCAAGGGGTGAGCATGCTCACCGTGGTGTCCAGCACCCTCGATGGTTGCATGGCCACCCTCGGGTGCAAATGCCTCACCCTCTTTTCAGGATAGCATCAATTTTTTTTTACAGGCAACATTCGCCCTTCGGCATCGCCCCAGGAAAAATAAATATTCCCTTTGGATTTCCATTAATGGTCACTTTCCACTCCCACCATTCATGAGTGACGAATCTTTCCGCTATGAACACATTCGGTACTAATGCCATATTGATAAACTATCAGATTCAATTGATGTGAAGCTGTTCAATTCCCGTTATAGCTGTGTATTGTGCCGGATGAAAGTTCTATAACGGCCTATTAATATACCCAATACTCCTTATAATGTACCGACAACTATATTTAGGGTTCCTCTATCGGTGTATTCCTTCTCTTACCGTATTCCCTTGTGTACCCAGTACGTGACCCTACCCGTGTGGTCTTGCTTTATCTCCTCACGAGGAGGCAGACACTGAGAGGAGAATGTTTCGAGAGGTTTGTCCGTGAGAACCCGCTTGGCGCAGAGGAGAAAATGCGCCTCCGAATGCATGTACACCCATTTTTCAACCATCGGACACCCTACACTCACCTTTATTATTTGCTGTATGCAGCAATATCGAGAGGTTTGTCCGTGAGAACCCGCTTGGCGCAGAGGAGAAAATGCGCCTCCGAATGCATGTACACCCATTTTTCAACCATCGGACACCCTACACTCACCTTTATTATTTGCTGTATGCAGCAATAGACAAAACTGCCGTTTTGTCTCATCAGTTTTGTCTCAGGAACCTAGGAGACCGAATGATTCAAAGAACAAATGGGGTGATGAATAAATACCAAATGTCAACCCCCCTCCTCCTAATCCCCCAGCTTCCCTCTATAAGTGTGTTCCAAGTTACAGGGTGTCCTAGAATTCTGGTCACAAATTGTGAAGGTTATTAAACGAGTGCCAAATAAAAATAGCCAAAGCTTTGTCATTTGAAACATTGGTAGTACACATGAAGACCATGCAGAATGTGAGGCATATGAAAAAAGACACACACATGCAACAGGATGATGTCAGCGCTCACACTGTCGTCTATTTCCGGTGATGCAGCGATTACAGCATTTTGGGAGATCATCCATTGCATCCTGCGCCATTTCCAGCGGAATTGCTGCAATGTGATTGTCAATTGCTAGAATCAAAGCATGAACATCTGCAGGCTTCTCAGAGAACACTTTCTCCTTCAGGAAGCCCCATTGTCAGTAGTCACAGATCATCCAGTCCAGTGATCTTGATGGCCATTCATCAAATCTTCTGCGACCGATCCATCTGCCTCCAGGGCGAGAACGCTATTGTGCAATTCTGAGGATCTTGTCCTGTCAGTCTTGGCAAACTTCTACCAATAACACCTGTTCCAACAGGATGGCGCACCCCGACATTATGCCACAACTGTTCGCGAAATACACGATCACCTTGGAGGTGTTGCATTGTTAAGCCCATGTTAAAATAGCAAGAAAAAAATAGTAAGGAAGGATACATTTTCACCTGGCCTTTCTCGGAGCATTTTCATACTGCCTTGACTTTTCTCCCTCTCCTATTTCTCTTGCTTATTTTGTAACCAATGTTTCTTTCGGCCTAGGTTACTCTGAATTCAGCAACCTAATGAAAAAAAAGAGGAGTAAGGACTGCTCTCTCTTCAGTTCATGACGTGATGATGACTTGCAATGTCATCGTAATGCCCTGGGGAATTATTTTCATTCGAACATGCCAGAGCTTTCGTGAGTGTTTGATACTATCAATACAGTACTAGCTTTGCAAAGGAAAACTGAGAATTCTAATCCCCACTTTATAAAATCGAAAAATCGCTCGGATTCATGAGCCCTCATTGGCTCAGAGACTCCTTCCATCCGTCGAGAAAGAGGAACAAGACAGGACACAGAAAGTGAGTGAGTGGGACACAAGCCACTGGACTTCCATCTCGCGGTGGGAGCGAGAGAGCGAGCTGCCCATTCAGAAAACAACGTTGTTTCAACATTGAAAAAAGGTTGAAATGTTGAGACATCCATATTTGAATAGGTTCTACCAATCGGCGCGAGATGGCGCATGAACGCCATTTAGCAATTCTCACCCTGGTGTCATTGGAATGAGTCCCCTGTATTTTTCACTCAGTATCCAATCTTTTCCCACGCACAACTTAAGGTAAGGCTTTGGAATTCCTAGATAGACTTGTTTAGTGAGGTAACCCAGCAGAAGGAGACTCCAATTACTACTGGCCAGGGGGTTCGAGGAAACATGCTGTACTTTCCTAAGTCTCCACACGGCGTTCTTTAAAGCTTTGTTATTATATCTCGTGCGAGAGACGGAGAATGGGGAAATTTACTTTCTGGAATATGTCTGGCTTCACTCCTTAACCTGGGGATGATGCAAGACATATACAGTACTTCCTTCACTATACAGAACGAGATGCGTCTCAACTAATCCAATTCGAGTTCTGATCTAGTAATGGAAAGACAATCGCAGGGAGATTCCTCCGGGGTTTAAGTACTTGATAGAGTGCCATCATCCGACTGTGGTCCTCCGGAGAGATCCCTCTGTAGGAAGACAGTACTTAATAGACTACCTACTTATAATTTACATGAATCTCGTCATCTAATCGATATTAGCGCTCGCACAGACTCAAGATAACGAGGAGGCACTGTATTGTCCAAACGTTGACAATTCAACGCTTGCACAACGCATTTTCAACTTTGAACTGTGTTTCATTTCAACATTGCTTCAACGTCGAGGCAACCTTTTGTACAACATTGAGGCAACATTGCTACGTTGAATCGGTCTGGCTTAAATTCAGCCGCGATCTCCATTCTGGCTTATGCTTCTATTCTTCTATCTATTCTGGAGATCATGTATCCATACTGTTCATTCCTCGTGATCACGTGACCACTGATTTTGAATGTGGCTTCATCAGTGAAAATCATGTCTTGCATTGAAGGGTGCAAACAGTGCGAGAAATGACAAATCGAGACTCTCGCCGGATAATTAGTTGGCTTCGGATGATGCCTTAGCTGGTGTTTGTAGGAATGGATTTAGATACAAGTATCTTGCCTCATTATTCTAGTGCCGATTCCAACGACTTAAGCTGTTCTGCTATGAGACTCGCCGGTGCCTTCCAACCGTTACCGAAAAACCTGAATGATGGGAGGAATCCGAACTGGCCAGGGTCGGGGTTGACATCGCGCCGCGCCCTCTGATCCGGCCGCAGAAAGATGCTCATGGAAATTGTCCTATTTCTTTCCAACTTGACGACGAGACACATTTTGCAAAAATAGGTTATGTTGGCCATCGCAGCCGAGGCAGGAACGAGCTCAAAATTATGTAGCGTGTGAATATTTTTCTACAAAAACTGCCGTCGGAAAAATGTCTGCAGTGAACTGAACCTTGAATTTATACAAAATTGATGAACATGACTCTACCATTTCTATCTGACTACAGGCATTGTACATTCGAGACATCCATATGCAGGGGAAATGCAGTATTGGGCATTCATACTTTTCATTACCCCTGGTTGCTTCGCCGCCGTCGTCCCGAAAGCGGAAAACCATATACCCTGGAGCTCTGGAGTCCTGGCTCGTGAGTCGTCGTCATGTCACAGAACGTCGTGGAAGGATTGAAAGGGATGTCAGAGACATCTTAAATGAGGGGAAAACAATGATTTTAAGCGCAGCTTTTTTTTTAATCCAAAGAATTGCATTTCCAGTCTTAGTATAAATTGAAAGTAATGGAAACCGCAACGTCAACTTTTTTTTTAGTGCTACTGTTTCTCTTATCTTTAGGTTGTCCGCTGCAAAACTTTTTTTTCTTTCCAAATGTACACTCACAAAAGAATAGTACATGTAAAATGAGTTTGGTATGATTGGCAGAATTACATCCAGAAGAAGGAATAGAGGGCAGCAATGGACGATACATCTTCGAGAACGGGCAAGACATCAAGCTCTTCTGCACTGTGACCGAAGCTGGGTTAAACGAGGGACTCAATATCTCTGACCTCAGACTCGAGACGCCTTCTGGTGACATCGTAAAACCAAATTCCACGTCGAATAACGTAACGGTGTCCTTCATCATCGCTAATGCATCTGCGAACGATTCCGGTCGGTACTATTGCAGGAACATTTTCAACGACAAGAGACTATCCAAACTTCACTCTATGGCCTTAGAAATCGGCTGTAAGACGCATTTCCTTCTTGACCGTTTCTTTTACTTGAATGGTAGATAATGGAATATGATTGTGAAAGCTCCCCCGCTAGAGCTGGAATCTTGGCGATGCTGGTCGAAGCAGATGAAGGTGCTCATTTGCACTTGGTCAATACCAAAGAATCCCGTTTGGACGGATTACGTTTTCTACATCCAGACCGATGGGTACCCGTATTCCATATCATCGATTTCCCCAAAATGGATTTCTGACTGCGATGAGCCTAACAGAATTGATGTGGTGAAAGGAAGAAGATGGCAGAATGCCGGCGAAAGAACGCAACAGTAGATGGGAAGGCGATATGCGAATGGTCGAAAAATGGCACGCCTCCCTATAATCCTGGTGAGACAGATATGAACATCACAGTGGCTGCCAAAAATCCGTTTGGCAATGCAATCTTCATCTACCCTTTTGATCACTACCGGAACAGTGAGTGTCTTCCATTTACATTTCGCTTCCGCCAAATCATTCCGCTTATTTAAGAAAATGAAAGCGTTCAAGGCGAAAAGGACAAAAGCGGGGTTTACCCACATAGAACCCAAGCATATCTGAATTAAACTCCCTTGTATAGGTTTTACAGGTCAAATGTGAACATAAGAAAGTGAAATGCGAAAAGGAAAGTGAAATGCGTCGGTGTGGTGAATGTCGGATTTTTTGGAAAAGCATGTTCGACATAAGGAAAGTCAAATGCGACAGATACAGAAGGTATACCATACCTGTGTTAGGGGGAAGCTTTCTCGCTGCATTCCCACAACGTGCGGCTTCAAGTACATTTTCATATGATTCTCCTTTTGCAAATAACATTATTTGGCAATTATCGATACGTCAGGGTTAGTCATGGGGAATATGCCACCATCAAGTTGTTTCACATCAATGAAGGTAGTCAGGAAATTGCCATGATAAATTACTATTCATCTAAAAAGAAACATTTGATTGAGATTTGTATTGCCAAATGGTCTATTTGATCCCACAATACCAGTTATACAATGGGAAAAAAGTACTGGAATACCAGTTGAGGGTTAAGGAGAACCCCATATATTCCTCTCCGTTTTTTCATATGTGAAAGTTGCAGTTGGTAGTTGTATATTCCTATGACAGACCCTGACAGATAATATTAATTATTCCTATGACAGATAATATTAATTGCAAAAGGAGCAACATATGTAAATGCGCCTGAAGCCGTGCGTTATGAAATGCAACGTGAAGGCAATTACCCCTAAGACGGGCATGGTAAACCTTGCGTATCTGTAGCATTTGACCTTCCTTATGTCAAAAATGCTTTTTACCTAAATTCCAACATCCACCACAGCGACGCTTTTGACTTTCCTTACTGTCACTTTTAACGTTCCCAGGCAGCACAGCGACGCATTTGAATTTCCTTTTCGAATTTGACTTTCTGACTACCACATTTGGCCTAGAAAACCTAAAATGTGCCCTTTTTTTTTTCTTCAACGGGATTAAAAAAAAAACTTTCATCCCATGAGAGAGAAAAAAGTCAGTTTCGTATATAGCTCTGAAAGTTCCTTAATCCGTCTACATACAAAGTATACATGGAATTGTTTAATCATGAAATTTGTGCATTCATATTTAAAACATGTATATTCATGTTAGGGCTTGACATGCCCTCCTCTCTGAGTCAAAATGACCACTATACAGTATATTCATTATAGGCATATCTTTTCCCTTTTGGCCTTGCCACTCTATTCACTTCATGACTATCCACTCATTCGACTCTGAATTTTTTTGCAATGCACCTTGCTTAGGTAAGCTGAAATTATTTTATAACTATTTATTTTTCAGTTGCACGAAGTATGAGAAGAAATTGATAGCATTATAAAGCTGAACATCTAATGATTTTTTTTTAAAGGAAAAGAAAGTCCAGTATTCAGTCGTGTGGGCAAGTTTTTGCCTTTGACTACGTAGATATCCAATAAGTTTCAGCTGTAGCCAGACAGCAAATTAAACAATCACGGAATGTTGCCAAATAACTGAGATTATATGAATGCCTTGCATAGTCTCATTTTTCCTAAATGTGTGTCCAGGAGATGAGTAATTATGTGACATGCAGGGTATGTGCATCATTTTGTTTCGGTATGAAAATTTTAACGAATGTACAGGGGTATTACGGCAATAAAACTAAAATGCTGCCGGAATTACCAGTCGCAGTCCAGAACCAAAACTTGGTCATCGGTACACGAGCACATAAAGAACTCAGAGAACCGGAGTTATCGACTATGGTTCTCGTGCTCGTATGTGTCTCGGCTGCGCCCTTCCCTCATCCCATCATCGCTAACCCCCCAGTAAGACGTAGCCTGGTACGGACGGGGGGAAGGTGAAGGTGTGGGCGTCGTCTCTTTTCCCTCAGAAAGGAAAAGGATCGGTTTTATCGAAATGACGAGGTACATGATACCGCTGTTGCAACTTTTACGAATGTCCAACAACTCCAATAATCATCAGTTTGCTGCTGCACTATGTTCATTTACTGTCATTGATGTAGTTAAGATCGATATGTTGGATGACGTTGCCGTTGGGGAATTGGGCGAGGAGACACTGGACGTCACCTGGAATATCCCGGGTAACATGGAGTACTACAACGTCTCCATCGTCCATAACATCCGATGGATACACGAATGGAAGGACGAGCTCCAATATGCCAACGTACGTGAACTCGCCCATTACTATGGTCCGGAAGCTACGTAATCAGGGGATGAGCTAGCCGATCGGTTTCATCGGAACTGAACTTTGGAAGTGATCAATCAGAACGCTCCCCTTTTTGACATCGTTCCAGTGTTTTCTGATACTTATAGGTTTGCTAGGTCTAATGTGACAATAAGAATGTCAAATGCGACAGATACACGAGATTTTCCATACCCGTCTTAGGGGAATTGCCTTCTCGTTGCATTTTCACAACGGGCTTCAGGTGCATTTACATATGTCGCTCCTTTTACAATTAATATTATTTGGCAATTACCGATATGTCAGAGTTAGTCATAAGAATGTTGGCGGCACATCATTTGTTTCCAGCATAAGGATCACGAGGTAAAAATTCAGAGCGTCGTATAGTGTTCCTACATTGAATTTAATTCCTGTCTGTGGTCGTGACACTCTTCTTAGCATATTGAACTCGAAAAGCATATAATAGCAGACATAAGCTCATCACTTCAGAGTTTTAACGCAATAGTTCCATGTAGACTATTGGGGATTTTGTCGTTATATTATTATCTATATTCAGGCACAAGTACTCTACGGAAGTCCTTTTTTCAAACTCTACTAAAGGTTCCATGGAGTTGTCCATGAAAAACGCGTCATTCTGTAAATGCAGCCAATAGCCATTTCTTCCCGTTTCGTTGAAGTGTGTATATAGAAATAGCATTGGCCTAAGCGTCCGTGAATAGATTGGGCACAGGCACACAAAATTGGTGTAGACCTGAGCGTCTATCCAAGGGTAAGATATACTGTAGGTCTGCAAAAACAGTCCCCTCAGGGTACGTACTTCCATGTCGAACTTCATCTGCTGTATGCAATAAAACAGCTATTTATTTTCCCTCCCGCTTCTTTGGAGGAAGAAAGAGTATGAGAGTGGTATAGTCGAGTCACTGGGAATATGGGCAGTAGAAGGAAAAGAAACGAGAAATGAGTCATTTAGTGTCTCCCCGGTCTTTGTCGGCGGATTAACTCCTACTGTCAAAGACATGACATTCTGAGACGGATGCCACATGGATTTTCCCTTCAGAGGTGAGTATATATATTTCAATGTAGTCTATACGATCTCCTCATGCAAGCAGTTTCATCGTGTGGCGTCTCTGTGTTATTCCTGAGAGGCCAACCACTCCTGCTCACATTTAGCATTCCTGTTGTTCTTGTAAATAAAAATTGACTGTCGCAACCCTGTTTTTCCAAGCTGGAGATTAGGGGAGGGGGCTGTCAACTAGCTGACATGTTATGACCTCTAGTTGGGTGACTTGTCAAATTCGCCGACAAACTCGCCATATTCCAAGCGACTCGACTATATATGCCTAGGCGTTCATCTGTGGGTTAGGCCTAGGCCTAGGGAATCAGTTTCTCCCTTCCTCCGAAATGTGCCCCCAGGGCATGTACCCCCAAATTCGGACAATCGAAGTTGGACTTTCTCTGGAGTCGGCAACCTAGCAGCTATTCACGTTCCTTCCGTTTTGTTGAAGAATGTGCGTATGAGAATCGCATATTCCTCTGTGGGTTACGCCTAGGCTCGTAAAGTCAGACCCCACAAAATGTGCCTCCAGGGACCGTACCCCCAAAGTTGAATTTTTCTGGAGTCAGCAATCTATTTCGTGCACCAAGTTTTCAGCCTCTCATCATTTCTAGAACATGGTTAGTCAGTCAGTCAGTCACTCACCATCGTCAATATACAGCTTATTAGATGGAAATTACAGAAAATTAAAGCAATACGTCCTAAAAGTACCATGCGGACCATTCTTAATGTCTTCTTCAGATTGACGTGAACGGATTCAGAATTTGGTTTAACATTAAATTCCAGGTGGTGAATTACACGATCCAAGGAAATTCCCTAAGAATGTCCTGGAATTATACATTAACGGGCCTTATACCGAATACCGACTATAAAGTCGAGATTAGGGCCATTGTCGATGGAGCAGAGTTCTCTGACCTCTGGTCCAATTCTTCAATGGTGGAAGGCAAAACCAAGTCAAAAGGTACGTCAAGCATGTATCCTGTTTTACCTCTGCCCGTCTTCCACCGATTTAGAGCTACATTTATTCATCTGACTCTTTATATGTCGATTTGATAGTTCCAGATAGGAGCCCAGATGTGCCCCCGGGGAGCTTCTACGTGAAGAGAAATGATGATGGCCTCAGGGATATTCATATTTACTGGATCCCATTGAGCGAGTGGGAACATTACGGCGACAACTTCACCTACCGAGTGAGATCATCTCCAATAATATAAATGAAGTAATGTGAAAATTGTTCAATGGCCTCAACCTCCCCCACCCAACTTCCAAGCCTCTCTACGGGACTCACAAACGTTAGGCCTAGGCCTAACCAACAGACCACCATCGGGTCATGCTAAGGCCTACCTTTTTCATTTAAAAAGAAACTCAATTCTCGACTTACGGCGCCAATTAGGGCTAATAGGGTGAATCGTGATCTTTGAGACATCTCGTAGCGGACGGGTAACGTTAGACCGATTGGAGGCCTGTTTCGCGTTTCATGAACTATTTCAGTGGGACGTGGAACGTTGGACCTATCTGGAGTTCCTCGAACCATCTCGAATAGGTCTGAGGAGAGATTGCCTTCAAGATGCATGCAATCCATGCTACGCGCCATCCTGTTAATTCAGGGATGTCTGAATAAGATATCTGCATATCTCACCACATCGATCAATAGCTGCTAGCCACCGCTTCATTCTCAGCTCAACTCATGAACTCAGCACAAAAGTGTCTCATACATTAAAAACAGAAGATCCAGACGCCAATACGAAGGATGAAACAGTCTTGAATCTGGCATAATTTCGGCACGGTATCTGGCAACATTGGGGGCCGGTACTGGAGGCTGGTACTCTAAGCCTAATTGAACAACAGCTAATTTCATTTTTATGGCGAAATGGAACATCGCTAACAGCAAAAAAGCCACTTTTCGTCATCTTCGAGTCTATGTCTTTCTTATGGCTGGTCTCTTTCCTCCGAAAACCCCCCAGAAGTGGCTACCCGGGGGGGGGGGGGGGGGGGGGGAAAAAAAAAAAAAAAAAATGGGGGGGGGGGGGGGGGGGGGGGGGGGGGGAGAAAAAAAAGCAATGAAATTCACATCCTCCAGAAACGTGATTCAGTGTTCTCTACAACCCCGGGGAGATGGAGCTTCAAATTTGCTTTAAATTTAGCGATTCTGTGATGAGAGAGGAAGAAGTATGCCAAATTTTGTTCCTATTGATGCTCTCAGAGAAGAATACGAGGAGATTAAATTTTCCTGTGGGAAGGGGCTGAAGAAAGGTAATAGGCGCTACCGCGCCTATTGATGAATGTGAGTTAGTTTAGCAACGGGAGAATATATATAGGAATACAAAGCGGTCGCTTAGGAACATATTGCAGTGCGGGAGAAATTGAGAGAAATTTTCATTTGTCGGAATAATGCTTTTCATGCATACTATCCTCAAGCACGTTTTCACGTTGAAAAAAAGGACAATGCTCTCTCCCTCTTTTGGAAAACTGTTTCCTTCACATGTGATATTGATGAAAGGATTTTGAATGAAGATTTTCGTTATTGCTATGCAGGTAGAAGGGCAGGAAATATCGTCACCAGGAAAGGAACTCCAGCCGACATCTATGACGGAAACGTCCGCCACCTTCAAGAACCTAAGTGCTGAATCATTTTACAAATTCTACATCGTTTCCAGCAACGAATTAGGAATGGCTCCTCCACGGTCCAGCATTGATGTCGACAAGGAAGAGGACAGTGAGAATCCCTAAGCTTCGAAGATTTATAATTATTTTTAGTTAGTACTTTCTAACTAGACATTAAATCCCAACAAAAATAGGAATTCCTTGCCCAACGATCCAGACCTTCCAATCTGACGGAGAATATATCTTGGAATGGAAGGCACTCGATGAGGAGAGGACGACGAATTTCACAGTATTTTGGTGTCTTTCTCACCCGGCCTGGCCCACCTGTGATTCCAGTATCAACTGGGAAGTCGTTCCGAGGAACACCACCACATTTAAACTGAAGTCTAACGAATCACTCAAATTCGCCGTCTCGGTCAACGCGGAGTCCGGGGGGAGTGGAATGGGCTGGGAGAAGACCGTGTTTGAGCCAGAAGCAGGTGAAACTTTTTTGCTTCCCAGTCAACTTTTAGTGGGTGAAAATGAAAAATGCATTTATCTAAAATGGAATTGAAATTGCAAAACTGTAACTGCAGATTGAGAAAGAAGCGGTTGCGAGAAGCCAAGTATGCAAATGAAAGTCAAAAGCAAGGAAATCCCTCACTATGAACGCCTAAGAGCAAAAAGAGATGTGCTTAATGCGTTAAAGTCTCCCTTACATGATTTAGGTCATCATCCCACATCACATTCATTTCATCTTTTCCATGCGCCCTTGTCTGCATCCCAATGAACCACTCAGAAAGGATGATTGACGCATGACCATTCAATTCATTTTACGAATCCCATGAGAAGTACTCTGTGAGACTCAGGTTCGCATTGGAACTCATTCAGCTCGCATGCCATGTATAAAACTAAATTGGTGCATGTTCAGTCAAAAATATCTGATTTGCATGAAAAGTACAGTAAACAAATACTAAAATCGACTTCTCATTCTCCACTCAAGAGGTATTCTTTTTAAACTGTAATATCGGCCATTTCTCTCCCGCAACCCCCCCCAAAATTATATATCATTCGAAAGAAAATTAAACAAGCTTCATTTTGCTTTGATAAAAATTGATATTGGCCCAACGGGGCCCAAGTTATGAAGCTTCAAATTTGGCGCAGTTTTTTTGGTTTACCCTGTACATAGTCTCCTGCCATAAGATGAAGGAAAATGTAGACTATCCTCGGCAATTTCTTGCAACTTAAGACAAGCAAACCCACTGGCATTTTCATGGTCATGATAAAAAATTGGCACAATATCATGAAAATCATCCAATGCTCCTCAATATTCAAATGAGAGAATTCAAGTCATAACTGTATTTCACTGTATTCCCCTTACAGATCAGAATTTCCCTGTGGCAGTTGTGGTGATCGCTGTCGTTTTAGGAATGGCCCTGGTCGTAACAGCTGCACTGGGGGGCAACAGGTCAACTTTCTAGCTAGTTTTCTCACTTGTCTCGGTAGGGTTTCGTATTGTTTTCATCAAGTGCCGCTTCCTTTGTCATGCCTTTCCAGGTTGTGGAAACACTTTGATAAGATCCAAGTAACGCTGCCGCCGGGATTCTCTGACACTGATCCAAGTGTATGTCAAGTTCAAATATTCAACTAAACATATATGTCTAACAACAATGGAAATAACTTCTCTCTCTCCCTCCCTCTCTCTCCCTCCCTCTCTCTCCCTCCCTCTCTCTCCCTCCCTCTCTTTACAGGAATCAAGGGAAACGCTAAACCAAGTCCCTCCATATGAAATTGTCAGCATTACCGGAAACGAAATCATCACTGTGAGTCACCTATTGCATGCAGGATGAGTATTATCCAGGGTCAACATTAGGTAGTCTCTGTCCTCATCCCCATTCTCATAAAAACTCTTTCCCCATACTCATTCCAGGATCTTCAAGAAAGTAGACAGAAGCATGATGATGATGGAGAAGCTGCTAGGCCCGAATACCAAGTCTCAATCAGAGTAAGTTCATAAGGAGTGATATGCAAAATTATTATCCCTTTCCGTACTATGAACAGTTACGTTCAGAATATACTGGTCTCTAGGCCTACGAACGCGTCTCTGGTTTTCATCTAGCTGCTCCTACGAAATTTAGGATTCTTTTGTCGCAAAACTACTTTTGAACGTTTGGGGGGTTAATGCTTTCTTGTATTTGCTGCCATGTATATTGTTATACACGAAAACTAAATGAATGAACAAAAAAGAAATAAAATTTGAGAGGAACCTGTTAGTCGGCAGCATCGCTACGCGAATAAAGTACTCGTCTGCAAGTCTCAGAAAGAAAATGAAGGAATCATCAATAAATGTGATGCTAAGTTCGGAAATGATGAAGTCAGTGAAACTGACAACTATTTTTTTTTGCTATTGCAATATTTCTTTTTCACTCTACAGTATATATAAAGAGCGTGTCTGTTCCTTTACGCATTCGGACCCCCCATTTGCCAGTGCAACCAAATTTTGCATGGCTTCCTCTTTCATCCAGGGGAAGGTCGAGGGCTATGTTTCCATCCAAAATTTTCACTCCTGGGGTACTTTTCCGTGGTACTGTAGTGTCTGGGATGGCATTGAGAGGAATGACGGTTTCCTGGATCCGGTGGTGCTGAGGTAGCACACCTAACCGGCGATCAGGAGGCCCGGGTTCGATTCCCATCCGCCCCCTGCCTTTTTTTCGTCCTCTCATGCCATCTAACTCTCCCCTCCCGGCCACCTGCATCACAGTACCCTGGGGTAATCTCATTGCTGGACCACTACAGTAGGTAGTAAGCAATATTCTTTTGATCAAGTTTTCATCGAATATGTGTTTCAAAACGATGAAAACACTTTACCAATAAGTTTTTTAACCCAAAAATAATTTAGAAATTATTCAAAGCGTTAAAAAAATGAAGTTAAAAAAGGGAAGGGGTCCGAGCGAATTTGGGACACCTAAGATTGGCAACTTATAGGAAACCATAAGGCCAACATTCCCCAATATGTCAGGCATGCAATATTGAAATATTGCATTTCCTCGGGCAACGCCAGGTACTTCCAACTAGTATATATATATATATATAATAAAATAAATCCTTCCACGGCACCTGCCGGTATTGGAGATATGAAGGGGGATGAACCACATCCCAGACCTCATACTCGTCTTAATTCTGAAGGACACGGCGAAGGATGCTGGAAGTGCCCAAGATTGCTGTACGCTGGAGGATATCCAGTGATATTTCACACTCCAGCTTCCTGACATGTCCTTTGAAGTCTTTCAGGACGACACCAGTAGTGCCTATGATGATCGGAACTATGGTGGTCTTCATTCCGCACAACTGTTCCACTTCCACTTTCAGTTCGGAGTATTTTTCCAGCTTCTCCCTGGTCTTCTCTTGGAGGTTGTTATCGGCTGGGATGCTCACATCTACGAG